GAAACCTCTAACTCCACAAACACAGCAGTGCCCTGTTTTTTGTCACTACTTTCTGCAGTTTCAAGCTGCTGCCCAGCAGCAGTTTTTTTACTGTGCGTATGTGGTGGTGCATCCCCCTTTCACACTGGCCCACACTGATTTCAGAAATGCTTGTTAGGCCTTGGCCTTGATGAATGACAGCTCAGCTAAGCTCCTTGAGCTTATCAGAAACACTGTGTGCTCCCAGGAACTTATTTTAGCTAATGAGCTCCTGTTTTTTAGCGAACAGTCTTGGAAACCTATTTTTCTTGCCTGCCTAAGAATGTAAGTGTAACTCCACTTTTATGATTGAACTTTCACAGAAAGTTACTGACCTGAATTGTAGCCAGGATGGAAAATTGCTGTGACGAAAGAAAACACTCTTGCAGCCCTATAAAGAGCGGTCCTAAGTGAGACCCTCTGAGCTCTCCTGGACCTCAGAGGGCTGCAGCCAGCAATTCACTCTGAGTGAGATACTCCTCTGAGCAAAAAAATTCTCAAGTTCACTCTATTTGTAGGACTGCCAAAACCTAAAGATGGAGCTTGGGCTGATACCCCCACTCCTTGAGTCTCAACTCTTTGCCCTTCAAAATAATGTAAAGGCATGAGGACTTCACTGATCCTGAGGGGAATTTTTCACAGGTATGTGTCCTCACTCCTTTATTGTGTGTCTGCCAAGTGTTAATATAGCATTGCAAATCATTGTGGTTTAAAAGCAAACAGTTGCTTCCCTTCTCCCCAGTCCCCTCCAGTGAGATAGGGACAAAAAGGCAGAGATTATGGGTTGAGATAACAATTTACTAGAGAAAAAGCAATGAGAGAAAGAAAACAGTAACAGCAAATGGTACTCATAAAACAGTGCATAAAAGAGGCGATTTACATACAAAAAGGTGCTCACCATCCCCACCCAGCTTGGCATGGCTACCAAGACAAAGACAAAATGGTGGATGGTACCACAGCTCTGCAGCTGTGGCTCTTCCCAAGACAAACAATATATGGTAGATGTTCTCACAGGTGGTGTCCTCCTTCCCCAAGACTAAGACAACAAACAAGGATGGACAAACCTCCCAAGCCTTCTTCCTCTGCACATCACTGACTGCTCTGCCTGCACTGACTGCCCTGTGCCACCCCAAGGGTTGTGGTCACCGCTTTGCTCCTCCAGAAAAAAAGAACAAAATTGGTGCCATTTCTGCTGAGCACTCAGCTTTTCTTCCACCTGGAACCATATCCCCCTGCAATGACCTGGATGGTTTAGACTAGCACACCAGCCACACCCACACACTTCTAGGCCCTGCCCCTCTCAGCAAGGGCGAGAGAATGAACTCTCCTGGCCAAAACCAGGACACTCATGCACTGTGGGTGTTGATCTCTGCAATCTGTGAGTACATTAGATTCGTACAGAAGTTAGGCCTGTTGCTGTGTTGCTGTTGTGCTCGTTGTAGATTCTAAAGAATCTTAACTTGTTGAAATTAGGCCATCAATGAAGTGCTGTTAAAAACTTGAGGCCTAAGCCGTTGGTCAAGTCTGGTTATGTTTGAGCTAAGCATCTACTCTTTGACTCAACAGGAGGGTGCCCCTCATTCCCTTTTATCCTTATGCTTTTCCATCCTTAACCTTTTCCCATCCCCAGCCTCCACATAGATAATGTAGACTGATTTTAGTTTGGTTGATTTTAGGTTTTAGTCCAATTTTTCTCTGTATGCTACAGCTACGTAGTTCAGCAGTAAAGTGAACCTTGCCAATGAACTTTATTGCGCTTTCACTTTTTTATTAAACCTGCTTTAGCCGATACCTTTTGCCAGTGATTCTTTGAGCAACCTAAACCCCCTATTCACAACAGCGTATTGGAGACCTCACTACTCACATAATGCTCAAAATCCTTTGTTACCCACATCTCATTTGGATTTCAATTTGCTTACCTCCTCATGTCAAATGCAATCTACTTGTGTATCACCTCTCTTCTTTTGCCTATTTCTCCTTCCTACTCTAAGTCAGTCTCTGGAATTAATTCTTGGTTTTACAGAATCCAAATGCTCCAGCTTCTTCATATGCCCTCCTTGACCTGCCTCTGCTTCCCTTTTACCCTAGAGGTCAAGAACAGCAAATATACTGACTTTCTGATCTTACAGAGGTTTCTGGCTTTTTCCCTCCCTTCACTCTTAAGACTGCCCATTATCCCCTTACTGATTATGCACTTTCAGCATACCAGGAACTTAAATGTAAAGGCACCTCAACCAAAAAAGACAAAAGATCAAGTGGTAATTCCTTTGGCTTACTGCAAGTTTGTAGAAATCCCTTTGGATCTGAAGAAGGGACTGCTAAATCACTGTCCCATTCTAGAGGAGACCCTGTGTGCTTCTCTCCAGCTGTCTTACACTAGTATTGGTGAGTAGATGGATATGTTTCCTTCTAAAATCCGAGGTTTCTGCAAATACAGAAGTCCCTAATGTGTTAATTCTTATCTTTCGTTCCAGTTTAAATTTGTCTGCTCTGGGGGCTTCAGTTGTTCACTGCCTGTGTCCCAAAACCTTCACACTCAATTCTCTGCCCTACCCATCTTTCATCTGTCTCACCTTTCATCAGTCCTGCTAGTTATCCTCAGTCTCTCTTGCCCCACTTATCTCTCCCAAATGAGTTCAGCTGCTTATTGTGCCACCTTACCTGCTTGACATCTCTTTGATGAACCTAGATCAAATTCTTCCTGCAAGGTGCCAGTTCTTCCTGTTGTTTCACACCTTTCCTTTACATCTGCTTAGAGTTTTGCTGCAACTCCTGTTTCATCCTTTAATTTAAGGGGTCATTCAGCTGCCCCAGTTTTATACCTTGAAAACTTGGCCCATTTGTACTTTACATGCCTGAAGTGAATGTGTTTTAACATAACTCCTGCACAAATCTTTACAGGGTGTGATTAAATATGGGAAGTCAGCAGTTGAGTAGAGCATGGAAGAACCAGTTAATTAAGGACTTTAAAGGTGACATTTTTACCATCTGTAAACAAAATCTGTATTGCAAACCAGAACTCTCTACATGGCAGCTCCTAGGTTTCCTTGGTACAAGATCCAAAGCTCAGTGAAATGGGAAGGGGGATCTTTCACTGATTTTAGTATCCTTTGCATCAGGCCCCTGATTTCCCTTAGCAATGATAAAATGATACACAAAGTTGGGACTGTACAACTTCCTTTTATTTTGTGTGCTTTTATAGGATATAAATAAATGACAAAATTACAAAATTTATAACTGGAAGCCCAAGCATATTTACATAAGTATTTGTTGCAGTGAGGCTACTATTTACTGTTGTCCTATACAATTTTCCTTTTGGTACCATATTTTTAGTGTTATTTTTTTTTTGACTGTCAGTTGACTAAGTACATATCAACAGTGAATAAGCAAAAATATGTACAAGGAACTATTTTGTTCAAGTAAATTGAATACTGTATTAAAAGGATGTCATCACTCAGCGCTATGATTAGGTTTAACTAAACCATATACATTTATCAATTTTAAACCAAGTTCAATTATCCATTTTTTGGAACATACCAACTGATGATTCTAACTGAAAAACCTCAGCTGGATATGAAATAATAATTAAAAAAACATTAAGACAAGCACACAATTTATCAATATCTCTATAATGAACTTCAAAATGATTCACAATTTGACTGGATAGAACAATATACGTTAAAATGTCATTTTTCTCCTATAATGATAATTTTACTGTTATAATTTCAGTTCTACATAAATATACATCATGGTATTATACAAATACTCCACAGACATTAAAAAAATTAAAACACTTTAAAGAAAAAGTAAGTAAATCTTGTTTAACCAAATATTAAGCAAATGCTTAATTTTTTTTTGTTTCATGAAAACGTTTGTATTACTTTGGAATTTTTTTCTTTTTCTTGCTGTTTTTATTTAGAAAATGTTTTGCAGTAGAATTTTATCAATACTCTTCCAAACAAGCTTTCTGTGACAGAAATCTTGATAGCAAAATCCATGGTTTTTACTTCTTTTAGAACCACTGAGATTATTTTTTAAAAATACTAGTAGAATTCATGGCTATAGCAATGTTGAACTGCATAAACTATATGTAGGTGTAGTAGAATGACCATTCCACTTTCATTCCAGACTGATCACACAGAACATCTAGTGCACTGATGCTACAACTCTTATAATTTTCATAATGCTGCAATAGCAGTCATTTACTTAACTTTAAAATAAACAGTATTTCTCATAATTAATCTGGCTTCCTTCCATAAATATTCATATGTTTTCCTATAGTACTTCTCTTCCATAAAAATATCTAATAAATGTTTTCTGTGCATTATTAATACCTTTTTCTAACCATTCATAAAACTCTGATCCTTTGCTACAATGCAAGAGGTTTTTATTTCTGTAGAGGATCAAAGGACATCAATGATTACATATAAAATCAGCGCACACAGAAATCAGGGTGCCTAATTTCTCATCACTTTAATGAGTTCTTTATTCAACACAGTAATTATTAATGAATTCAGTGGTTTCACAAATAATCTATTTATTAATTCTGGTTCTATTTCAATTAAAAACTGCCAAGATTTAAATAAAAAACCCAATCAAATACTCTACTCATAGGCAGCATTAGTATTAGTTTAGAGACATTTTGTTGTTTTTTTTTTTCTTTAAAAAGTAGAATTCTAAAATAAGAAATCAAAGAAAGCACTGTGGCAGAGTCACAAGGGAGAACTGCATGAAAAATAAGGTTTCTCACTCCTCTTGTGGACTGTAATTTTAAAAGTCTTCATATAGTGTCATTCTTCATTCAGTGCTGCAGGAAGAAGAACATCACCAGAAATGACTGTCAGCCTTTTTTGTTAGTTACAAGGCCACTCATACAGTGCAGTCTTCCTCTCTGCTGGATTGAAACGTTGCCATAAAGGAAAGGCTGTGCTGTGACTGCTTGGCGTGCAAGGCACAACAAGGAACAGGGGGACAGTTTTTTATCAGAAAATTGTAGTTTCATACTTGGTATTAATGCCTCTTTTGGCCTCTTGTCCAGGTTCAACAATCCAGGGTAGATTCGCAAGAGTCTTTTGTTCGGATGGATCTATCTGCTTTAAGACAAATGCAAACATACAGACGGGTTACCATCTCCGTGCACGGCAGCTTGAGCAGAGGGTTTTTCTTTAAACTAACAGGGCAAATCCCGAATTGACAAAGTCGTACAGCAGCAAGTATGGTGGTGTCTACACTCCCATGTACTCATGGCTGCCTTCTTCTTCCTGTTGAGATCAGAGCTGTGTTTACCCCCAAGCTATAGGGCATCATAGTTCATTAAAGCCACACTTCATCCTGAGAAGTCTGTTCGCTAATGAGACAGACGATGGCATCAGGAAATGTTTCTACTTAAAGTTTTATGGAGGAAGATTCTGTGGCAATGGATGACAAAGTGTACAGTCATACATTTCCCCCCCCCCACCCTTCCCCTCACCCAATAATTAAGTGTCATAGAGTACAGTTCTCGCGTTATAGTCGGTGAATATGATACAGTGTGCGGTCATTTTTCTCCTTTCCCTCCCAAATCACCCTGTGCCTGTGTTCTCACTTAATTTATAACAGTTTTCATAATTTTTTTAAAAGGTCTACCGTAAAAGAATATTTCTCTGTCATCTCTGCACTTCAGGAGGGCACTTTAAAGGCAATCAATACAAATGCTTCAATGAGCTTTGTTTCTTAGGAATCTGTGATTAATGCTGAAAAGTATATTGAATCCCAGATTTAAAAAAAAAGAAAAAAAGGGTAAGAAAAAAAAAAAAAAGAAGTTGCTTGGTCTGACAAGATAATTGTACAGAATTGATACAAAATTGATTTGTATTTGTCATTTGATTAGGATACATATGCCGTGATCGTATACCAAACAAGTTAGGTGATAAATTAGGAAAGTCCATGAAACCTCAGAGTTTGAGAGGTATGCATTGATTAAACTGAATTAATTAAAGCTCTGATGTAATTACTATAAGACACATATGCACAAGACTAACCAAGCAACATCTTAAACTGGAGAAATCTGAAATAAGCAGTTGTTTGAAATGGCTGCCAGCGCTGTGGTGACACAACCCTGCCAGCTGATGAGCAGAGGTGGCACAATGGAGCATTTCTGACTTGAGAGGTATTTTTATTTGTACAGCTTCTAGTATATAAACTCTTAACTGTGTAGCTGAATTTTGGATTTTTTTGCATGCATTACTACCTTCTACTTACCACTGACTTCCGAATACTAACACGTGGTTTGGGAATAGGTTTAGAGGGTTTGTTTTCAAAGCTTTCAGGGAGGGTTGAAGAATGACCCCCTTTTCGTGCTTGTAGTGCAAGCTGATAGGCCACCTCAAATGCTTGTCCTAGTGTAAGAATGATTTCGTAAGCTAAATTCTGGAACAAAACAGAAACAGTTAAAATTGTGGTGAGGTTGAATTATTGTCAGATACATGAAGTGGGGTAGTGATTTTCAATGTAAATAATTAAAATCACACTGGTAATAGGCTCCCCAGTCTCTCTAATGTTTACATCTGCCATTTGATTTCTCATGGATTAAAAACAATCTAAATGTAATTTATTGTACCGAAAGTAATTACTTCTAAACCCCTTGAAAACGTCTTACTAACACGAAAACATGAGTGGGTGAGTATGTTGTCATCTCTTTTTAGAACCAGTATATTAACCTTCCCACCTTCCCAACTCATCCCATATCTGCTGTTCTCAGGATCCAGCCCCTCTTGCACTGTTGCAATGTGACACTCGGCCTCGCTCTATTTTGGAACTGCTGCGCTGACCCGTCCTCCTCCAGAGCCGGCAGCCTGACGTGCTGCTTCCCTGGGCACGTGCCTTGGGATGCTCTGTGCTCCCCAGGCAGCACAGGAGGAGGCTGCAGCACGGCTGTGATGTGTTCAGGACAGAGGGCAGTGCTGGAAACGCGTGCTCCGGCTGACAGGTGCAGTGCAGGTAGCTGTGCGTGCAGGTCCAAGTGCCTGCTGCAAGTCCTGGGGAAACCTTCTCGTGGGTTTGCTTTCTAGAAGTGAAATTGAGCTCAAACAGCTGCATAACAACGCTCTTGTAAGCGAGGGGAAGGGAGGTTAGTGGGCATAACCAAAAAAGTCAGGGTATTATGCCTAAAACCAATTCAGTGTTAAAGGTGGAATATTTTAAATCCTCTTTGGATATGGGGGAAAAAAAACCTGTTGAAATATTTATAACACATGAAAGAGGTATCAGAGAGGTTGATATAAATATCTTTTCAGTACAGTTATACATCAGTGAAAAAGCAGCTGTGAGTTTCAAATTTGACCTTACTCTAAATGGCAAGTGAATTCCTATGGTAATTTTTCTTCAGGTTTGTGGGTTTGTTTTTGTATATTTATTTTCGGGCTCCTACTGGAGCTTATTTTTAGGCTCCTACTAGAGCCTATTTCTGGGCTACTAACTCTGCAATAATGTTTAGAACCCCTGCAGAGCAAAGGCAAGCCTGTTGGCTTGCCTCCATATGATGTCCTACGGTCCCCTTAGAATAATTCATAAATCTTTGATATGATTCAGCTGTTACCCTCTCCTTCCTCCATCTCCATAGCCTATAGTATGAGCAATTCTGCATTGCTTTCAACCTAGGCAATCCCTTAAAATTCTCATGTTTCTGATACTTTTTCAAATGACTTATGTCTTTACTAGTCAAGTCTAACTGTTGAGCTTGCAGTAAGTGAGAAAGCAATGCAGTGCACTTGGAAGTACACTGTTTGCAACCCCTTCAATCATTAAAACAAAGTTAAATGGACAAGCATTTTATTTTATCACCTACACTTTAATTTCCCTGAAGAATTTCCATTCCTTTTTTATCACTCATTTATACTGATATAATACAGGCTAAATTCAGCATATTTTGCTCATTATAAGAGCTTCTTATAAAGGTGCCAGTTCTGCCCTGTGTTAGGTCAGACAGAAAACAATTATACTCCTGCACTGGGACATGCTCTCTGCTGTTACAACTACAGTCACAACAGCAAGCCAGCCAAAATTTTATAGCTTCCCAAATAAAAATGTCTGCCTGATTTGATAGCTGTAGTCTCCAAATTATCTCCCCTTTAACTTCAAGGGAAACTGTCCAGAACTGAAAAACACTGAGGATGCAGTTTTCCAGTGGAATAATAAAATAAAAACTAAAGAGTCTGTTATAAAGTGCTCTGCCTTTTAGCAGAATGCTGGCCAAGGAATTAAGTGCTAGAGTGTAGTTGTTAAAAATGTAGAGAATAATATAATTTGAAATGGAGTGTACTTTTAAGTGGGATAAGAATATTATTCTATAGAGAGATATCTTTAGAATACAGTAAGAGTGTACTATATCACGATGGGAATGTCTGCAGTAGATATTATTAATATTACTAAGGAATACCTCAGCAAGACAAGGTGTAGGAATGGCTTGTTGGAGAATATGCAGGCTGCAATACTAGTAGGACTGAGAAAATACATCATCCAGCGTGGCATAAAAAAGATCACTGAGACAGGCCTGAAAATTTGGGAGATGGGAGCAGAGACAGACTGAAAGTTTGCCATACTGAGCCATAAATTTAGTTTAAGTCCTGCATCTTGTATAAAGCCACTATAATCTGGTCTCCTTTGTTGTCTGTAGAATGAAAAAACAGGCCTGCTTGGGACCTGAAAACCAGAAACATGTAACTGCTTCTCTGGTTAATAAATATTTGAAATATATCAAATAAAACAGAACATTCACTGTTCTGTTCAATATTTCAAGTGCAAACGGAACCATAGCTTGTATATAAATTTTATACATAAATTTCTACTGTGGTAGAGCCTTGCCAAAGGGAAGTCTGCAAATGGAGGCAAGGAGGACTTTAAAAGTGTACCTTGTAAAATTTTAAAAAGTTATCTGAAAAAAAACCCATAAGTAAATAAGCTTGGTTTGAAGACTTTCCCACCTGTAGTACTGGGAGACGAGATTATAAGGACCAGAGTTGGTACAGATTCTTGCAGGGGCTATTTTGGACAGGTAGAACAGGATTCTCTTCAGGACAGGGGTGGAAATTACAAACCAAAATCCATTGTGGAAATTCCTCTGATGGAATGAGGAGATTATTTGAACTAAAAAGTTCAAATAAGTTCAAAAGTTCAAAAGCATGTGGCACAAAAGGAAGGATACAATTCTCCCTCCCAGGCAGACGCTTAGCACGGAAGTTGTAGGGCCCCTGGCTGCTGCAGGAGACGCTGACTCTCACAGCACCCCATCAAGCACCTTAGAAAGGAGAGAGAAAGGCCTGGGGTGCTTCACAGGCTGCTGCAATCCTGTTCCTTGCATGGTAAGGCAGAGAGGGAGGGCGAATAAGCTGATGTCTTTAAGCAGCAATTTTTGGGAGATGAGGAATGAGGTCAACTACCTTGTTTGCCAAGCAATGCTACAAGTCAGAGCCCCAGACCAAGTCTGATTCAGGATTCCTCAGCTTTAACTCAGCCAGCCTATTACAATAGATAATTGCTTCCTTATATTTTAACTGACTTTTTTGTTGTCTTCTATTCACAGGTGCACTGGGCAATGAAGGATTATCTGATGGAAATTACTTTGGGTATCTCCAATACACGAACCAGAAATTGATATTAGGAGCTGTGTTGGTTTGTTTCTCCAGAGGGAATCATTCACTCATAGATTTAAGGCTTCTTAGTAAAAAAATGAAAGTGAAGTGGGTTTCAGATATTGAGCAATAAGTCCTATTCTTCCCCCAAACCTTTTCCCCTTCAGTATTCTGTAATAAAGTCTGACATTTTTGCAATTTTGATTGTAGAATTTTCACTCTGAGTTAAATGTACTGTTACTCCTAAGTAGTATCAGTAATGCTTGTGGTTTCATGTCACTACACTAAAATATTTCCCTATCTATAAATAAATTATTCTTGCCCACATTTCCTGAGAAAATGAAGGACCCAAAGAGTAATTTTTTTTTCATAACATTGCATATAAGTATTACCAAAATACAGATGGTTTAAAATGCCTTGCATCTTATTGTGGATTTCTACAATTTTAAACCTTAATTTTCTTAAAATGACTGTATTTCTATCCATTGGCAAATGGGTGGAATTGTTTCTATTAGCAAACAGGATGATTAGTTTAACATAAACATTAGGCTTTAAATAGAAAATTTAATTCACTGTATGTTTGCATTCTGAACATCTATCTAGTTTTTATAGAGCTTGTACTTGCATCAAAAATATTAGTCCCTGAGAAGTAAAACACAAAAAGAGGATATTTGAGTATATAACACCCAACTGAGGATTAGATTGTAGGACAAAACTCAGTTAAGACAGTTAAAGTTTCCATATTGCTTAAAATAGCCATTTAAAGTGCTTGGGATATTAATGCTCCTCCGAAGGTACAGGAAGTGGGCAAAATGTAATTATCCCTGGATCACTTTTCTTCCCTTGCCAAGAAAGGAGATGACTTTCATCTGCAATACCTGAGTCTATGTTTCTGCTTGATTACTAAACCTATAATTGAAACTGCAGTACTTCAAAACCATTAAGTAGAATTTAAATGGACTAGGAGAAATAATAACCTCACTCAATCAGTCTAATTTCAGTTGTTCACACATCACTAAAGCCTATATAATGTAGCATCTTGTTGATCATTGTCTATCTATTTTTAACACAATTTCAAAGTTTTTCTGCTCCCTGTGGATACTAAAATGTCAGCAGAGAATTTAAATAACAAAAGCACTCAACCAAAATGCTAAAATTCTTCTAACCTACCTGTACATCTTGTTATTTAAATTCTCCCACACACTATTGCTGTGCATGTTAACTGTTTCCCCAGTTTCAAATAAAAAGCTGTAGTTCAGGTACCCTGTTCTTTTGATTTAACTTATATTCACGTGAACATGTTTCAAGAATTCATACACATTATACTCTATTACAATGTTTTTTCTTGAATGATTTTGAAGTTTTAATAGCACCTTAAATTTCTCTTGTGCACAAGTCAAAGAGTAAGTCTTCTTGAAAGTTTTGGACTATAAGTCTTAGTCATAAAAACTTTAGCCACTACTTAGTTCACCAAATTTAGCTGAAAATTACATGACTGATTAATTGATACGTGTTCATGATTTCTTGAAACCATAATAGTTTGCACATCCCCACCTGAAAGTATAAGCATAGGAAGAAATTATTAATTTTCCACCAATATAATAGGAGCTCCAAGGACTTTTGCTGAAGTACCATTTTGAGTTAATAATTACAGAACAAGGAAATAATAATTAAATAATTAATTTGCTACTTTCAGAATAAAGGCAGTCTTTTGGTGTGTGCTGAGATATCAGAATTGCTGGCCAAACGTACTTGTTACAAACTTTTGGAAGGCTTAGGCTTATAGCTTAGGTTATAAGAATTACGTGTCCAGACTTGTATGAAAAGCTACTCGCTCAGTTTACGGTCAACAGCTGAGGTGACAGAATTATTTCCGATGGCAAATGAGATATCAAAGAAAATCCTTGCTCTTCTCCAGAAATGTCCTTTTGCTATCCCATAGCGGTCTTTTCCTGGGGTAAATTAATGATGCCTTCCATTAATAACCATTAATATAGCCTGAAAATGTTTTAACAGAACTAAGTAACTATTGCTAATGGAAAGAACTATTAAATGAAGTATCTTCTGTCAACTGACCACATCAAATGCAGTGAATACGTGGCAGTAGTGGTGATTCGTCTTCAAGTCTTTAGTGATGTATGCAAATGTAGAAAGGTCTTCGGGGTCTTGTGCAGCACAGGAAATGTTGCGGATTTCATGTTCAGCAATAATATTCTGTTTAAAAAAAATGTTTTCAATCAATTTAAGAATTAAATTTTAAAGAGCTGTAAAGGGTATGGGTTTAGATTCACGTTTGCACTGATGTACTGTACCAAAGTATTTCAGGAATGTCCTAATAAGAAGAGATTTAATACACCCCATGTGAGATCTTACACAGGTATTTGGAATTTTGACCTTGTCCAACTGCCAATGATCTGGTAGGAGACCATATTTTCTAGAGTCTTCCCTATGAGGCCACTTGTGCTTTGGAGTTTATTCAGGTTCCTTTGACAAAGACATCTTTCCTACCACACAGGACACAGCTTCATAAGATGCTGGTGTAGTGCTTCGAAATAGTATTTATAGATACGTTTCAAAGCACTATATCAGCATCTTATGAAGTTCCTGGGCTTTTGTATAGTGATCAAAATGGGACACTGTTTCAGTCTACTGACAGACAGGATCTGGTAAAACCCAGCAAGCTCAATAGCCAGGTTTTTGCACATGCTATTTGACAAATTTTAGCTATACTTCTTCAGGAGGGAAAAACCATCAGACATCACTTATAATTGAAACTGTGAGATATCCAAAGGATTCCGATTACTAAAATGGTGACTACAGGGGGACCTGGCAGCTTATCTCCACTTACTGACAGCAGCATCCTGTAAGAGAGATGTAGGAAAATGAAACCGTTCATGCACTGAGCCACACTACTTGCAACAGCCAATGTAAGCTATAGCACACTACTGGGAGAGAGGTGGGGCATGTCTGTCCGATGGAACAAAAAAAAGCTGTCTTAAAGCTTTGGAGAAAATTATGAATACTCATTACATAAACTGCTGATATGTAATTACTGTATTCAGGCCAAAGGAACCATGAAGCCAGAGAAGATACAGCAGATACAGTGGCTTATGACTAGGCCTTGCTTCGGCAACATACACGTTTCAAATGGTTTGCTTAAGGAAAAGAATGATTACTTGAATAGGAATTTATTTAGGGATTAGTTTATATGCTTTCTTGGATTGTAGCTCTGCTGGCTGTAGCTCTGGCATTTCCACAAAAGCCCACAGTGACATATCCTGTTTCAATATGGCATCACTACTGCATCATGGAACTGGTGACACCTGTAATGTCCCAGTTCTTCACAGAGCCACCACTTGCTGCTGCCACAGTGCCATCTGTCCAAGTTAAAACAATCTCTGAGCATATCTGGTTTTCCATCACCCCTCTCTTTTCCTTCCCACCTCTTTTCCTCCAGCTCCCTTTTAAATTTATTTATTTTTAAAATATGTGCAACTAAATTACTTTGGATGCTTTGCCATATCTTCTGTCATTTGCTAAGTGGCAACTTTCCCCCTTGCATGTAGGTGCCAAGTTATTGAAAAGAAGCATTAACATACCTAATTGAAGAAATCATGACTTAGGGAAAATCTTAATAAAAAGGATACTCAATTTCAAATTTCAAATTCAAGTTCAAATGGAAAACCTGAGATAAGGAAACTTTACTGAAGAAAAGAAATAATCCTCTTAAATTGTTGCAGCATACTTGATTGTTTCTGTTTAATGCATTATTCATAGAAATTACAAAACCAGTACTTGTGTTTCAATATATGCCAATTTAAAATGACATGTGTAATCTCTACTCAACAATTACTTTTTATGTTACTTGAAGCATCTTATTTTCTTGGTTCTCAAATTGATAACTTGTACCCTCAATAAAGATTTTGATGAGAATTAGAATTATACCAAAACCAGGGATTTAGATATCCATGGATGGAGCTGTAATGCAGTGTCGTTGATGTAGTGTTGGCAACACTGTTGTTAAGAAAACAGAAAGAATTCAAGCTTGGAAGGTGTTAAATTCATACGTGAAGTATTTATGCCAAATCATGAGCCACAATGTAATCACCTGAATTTATGCAGCATATGTGAAAAGAGCTCTGCTATATTGAAATTTTTCCAGGTGACTTGGGGTTGATACAGGGATTTGCACTTGAGTCAGAATTCATGGAGATTATTTTAATGTTTTAATTTTAAATCAAGGGAATTTTAGAAAAATACAAATATCAAGTTTGTTTTGAATAACAAAAAGTATACCTAAACTAAATCTTGTGGACAGAAATTGGTAGTGAAATTGAGTTTTTTTCCTAGCTGCTCTAGGATATCCTCTGTGATCTCCTTTCAAAATTAAACATTTTTCAGTGCATGTATTTACTGTGTCCTACTGTCACATTTCAGTAGACAGCGGTCTTATTCTGTACGAAGTAGAAAGCTATGAACCAGCTTCCTCTTCTGGGTACACTCCTCAGGCACTGACAGACACTGTACAGTTGTTCTAAAAATTGTCTTTCAGTTTGGCAAGAGAAACCTCTAGTGCTTCTCAAAAAGTGGTGAAGCTGAAAGTCAGTTCTGGTTCTGCCAAGGAAATACCTTGGAGAGACCAGGTTTTTGCCAAGCAGCCTTCCTTTTGCTTGCCTAACTCATGCCAGGCAATCTCCCTTCTGGCAGAAATCACCCAGAAGTTAGGGTGAGCTGTGAGCCACGAGAAAATTCTGTGAGTCTGCTTTTTTCCTAAGCAGCAATTTCTTTCTGGCCTCACTTGCAAAGAAATGGTGTCATGCCAAGCTTCAAGGCGCCACTGAAATAGCTGTCGTGGAATGAGGTCAGGGCCCCTTCAAGTTTCAGTCACCTGAAACTTTGCCTGCTATGACTGGGAATACAAATTCTTATCTTGGTGGCATAAAGGAAAAGGATGAACAGCCATGAGAGCTGAGTTTTCAAGCACAGAATTGCTAGCTAATTTTGTCAATTAAAACTACGCGTTTGTTGCTAAGTGGTGCCCAGCGCCGTCAACTATAAGCTCATATGGAAGCAGTACAAGTCTGGATAAGCTCTCACCTTAGTGCTAATCTGTTTTGGGTCTTGAAGGGTTTGGGAACAGCATACTGTGGACAGCAACGCTTCTGGGAGAGTTGCAGGCTATTACCTGGTTTTTACAGAAGGGAAAGGCAGTGCAGATTTTGAACTGGAGAGAAAGCAATCTACCACTTGAGAAAAAACATTGGACTGTGGCATATTTAACTCCATCAAATACATCCATTGCACTATTAGGTTTCAGTGGGACCCATCTAGAGTCATCTAATGCAATTTGCCAAACTTCTTTCAGGTTTCCATCTTACATAAGACCCTATGCACTATGCAGAGACACAAGAAGCTCCTCTTGTTCTCCTGGCTTTTTTTTTGTAAACCTAAGGACATTGCAGTTACATCCTTTATGCTACAGAGGAGATTTAAGAGCTGAAAACAGCATTATCCAAGTTGGAGTCAATAGCATTACAATGTCCTGATCTATGCCCTGCACATCGGAGAACATAAAAGGAATGAGGGCTGTAGAAGCTCAGTTTTAAATCAATGGAAGGAAAAAGGAGCAGACAGGAATCCCTGGTCCCTCTGCTCTGGCAAATATGCCAGACTTGAAACAACAGTAATTCCACCTCAGTTTTTCTTTTAGGCTATTATCTAACTCTAAATATGGCTTCCAAACTCTAGCAGAAGTTCACAAAACTGCTTCCATCCGTCACTTAAAACACAGTTCCAGTCAAACTTAAAACCTGATTGATTTGGCAAGTTTGATGGATACTGGGTTAGGTGTACCTTGTGGGCTGAATGTTCAGCAACACAAAGCTACTATATACATTATTAACCTGGTCAGGTAGCTGGGTTGTCAGATTTATTTTTTATATTGCTTAGTCAGTTTTAGTCACATAACTAAGAAAAGATAATTTCTGTTCATACAAAAGCATCAGGATGGATGGTATTTCCTTGCCATTTTAGACATACAAAGAAGAGAAATGAATGCATTACTTTACTGCTCTTTACAGAGCTTGTACATTTTACTTTGGCTAAACAATAATCCATTGCTCTATCCATCACTGAGTTCTCTGATCTCTTAATTTCTGCTTTTGTGGCTTTGGTCAGTTGGGGTTTTTTAAAGATTTGGGTGCATTCAGAAATGTGAAAAACAAAGCACAGGAGCATTGCCACACGGGAAGATGTGAAAAAAAAATAATAAAAAAAATGGAATAGCAACTATTAAGAAGCTGCTGCAGTTCAGGTAGTTAAATGGCTAGCATCAAGAAAACAGCTCACAGAGATGTTGTGGTATTTGAATGTCTGGAAAGGACATTCAAGGCTTGTGTTTCTTGCTCTTAAAATGGCTGGCCCTGGATAAAACCACATCTTTATTCTTTATTGTGACTTTTTATTTTTTAATTTCCTCAAATTATACTAAGGAGCATATATATAAATATATTCTACATATTTATTGAAGAGGTTTATGACAATTTATGGAACTGTATAGAGAAGAATATGGTAAAGGATTCCACAGAGGCTCCCTTCTGAATGTCTTTTGTGATAAGCTTGCATTTAACAGCAGAATGCTGGACACAGTGTTCTCCAAATAAGCATTAAAGCTGCTTCACTTGTCCTCCAGACTGAGTTTCTGGAGAATGACAATTATATTACATCAATTTTGGGCAAAAGAGGAGAAAAAAAGGGGAGGAATACACAAAGTGCAAATCTGCCCCCTCTCTGGCCTGGCCTTCATAGGTATTACTATTTAGGTGTGAGAAACAAAAGGTAATATTCAGTAATTGCACATACCTTATTTGTGGCATCAATAAATTTGACTCCCTTGTAAGAAACGGACAGGACAATGGTTGGTACTTTCTTCATCTGTTCTGTAGACTTCTGAAATCAAAATGAAGATCTTATTAGAGTTGTCTTGCATTGCAATGACAGTGCTCTTTTCTTCTGATTAAATACCTAAGTTAAACAAATATTTTACTTTTCCTTCAGCCGGCTGTGCTCTGGGTTTATGCTCTCTTGTAGTTACAAAACTTATAAAGCTTTGAGTTTATTGTGAGGATGGTAAAAATTCTCCTTTTTTTCTAGCACAATGGGAATAGAATAAAGTAATTTTTCCAGGCTTAAAAAGACCAGTCATGCAACCAGTGTTCCCCAAAACATATGTTAGGACATCTATCTGCTATAGCCCATCCACTGCTGCCTCCCTCCCCTTCTCCCCCTCTTCCCAGCTGTAAGAATCAACAGCACAGTAATTCCTGTAGTACCATTTCTTTGCTGCAGTTGTTGTTTAGAAATATTTCCCTGTTTCCCCTTCTTTTCAGTTGTATTTGTGACATGAGGTATCCTTGCAGCCTGCTAGGCCTGCCAGTCAATCCGTCAGCCCAGCGCTGGATCTTGTCACCCTGACTGTCTGCACCTCGAGTGCAGCTGCTGCTGGAAGCTGCTTTACACATGAATTAGCACAGAGGCTTATTCTGCATTCCCTCCGTGACAGGTTCTTCTACCTACAGTTCATGCCCTCCTATAAGATTGTTTTTCCTTTTATGCTAGTCTACTTCTGTGTGCAGACAGCAAACGTATTTCCCACTGAACAGACTGGGAAAATGTGTGGGGCAGATTTAAGTTCTCTGCAGAAAAAAATAAAAGTTCTTTAGTTTACAGATTACATTTACTAGAACAACCCCAAACCCAACTGAACAAAACACTCAAATGTGACATAATAGTTTATAACTGATTTGAATTCTTTTAAGGTGGAAGACAATGATAGATGAGACTATTCTATACAAAATTTCTATAGATAAACAGGTAACATTCAGAAAATGCGTATTTATGGGACTATCTGCAAACAATCAGAGTTCAATCAAGTATTTTCCTGAGAGGAAATGAACTATTGACAGTTACAGATAAACATGAAGAAACATCAGCACACAGAAAGAGAGTGTAAACACACTGAAAAGTCTAGAACTAGCGCGTAGGAAGATCATTAAAGCAGCTGAACAAAAGCAGCAATGGTGGCTTTGTATTATTCAAAAAAAAGTCCAAAGAATCAGAGATAGAAACTTGAAAACACAAGCTGTATCTAAAAAAATGTTTGAAAAAATAGGCAATGCTAACACTAGAGAGCAAAATAAACAGAAACTTAAAACAAAAAAACTGCCCTGTAATCATGTCTCTTTATTGGCTCTTGATCCTCCCAGAACCAAACCAGATTCCATTTTTGTCAGCATAAAACTCAAAGCTACAGATCCAGCTATGTTCTGCAATTAGCATCTGTAGTGGTTTAGGTTTGCTAATTTGAGTTTTTGGCAAATGCACTAAATAATGTGGAGAGTTTAGTGCTGGCTAAAATTACTAGTGTATTTACTAGAATTATTTGTTTATTTTTTGTTGTGAGATATGAATTAGAAGGAGGGCAAAATAGACTTAAAATTTAAAGTGTATGAAGAAAACTTTATTAACAGAATTAGAAGAATAATAAGAATTAGAATAAACATTTTAGAACACTTTTCTTCTTCTTGCTCTACTTTTTTTTTTTTTTTAACTGATAATGTAGAGACAATACTTGGGATTTTAAATTAGTTATTACTTTTATAATACTCTTTTATTAGTGTCCATGCCATGCAGGCAGAAACCTCTAATTAAAGTTTCAAGGAGAGCCCCACTCATCCATGTAATAGAGAGGCTTGTTGGATCTCTCCGTATCAAATGACGAGATACTTGAGACAGCAATCAAGTGTAAATTTATCCTGGAGAAAACTTCTTTCACCCAGAATGCTCACCACTTTTAAGAAATGGAAGATTAAATGGTAAAACGCCCTGAAGAATTTTAACAAAGTCTGAAGAAAGAAACAAATCTGATTTGCCTGCCTGTGGACTGAGTGGAGGAAGAACTGGTATCCCTGCCAAAAGTAGAGCAAGCAGCTACCTGTGTGTATGTGTGTGTGTGTGTCACTATAACAGATCTCAAATGAGTCTTTTCATAAAATTCAATTTCAGTGCACAGAAAGCATGGCAGTGACTGTACAGAAGCTGCAGTACATACATCTATCAGAATAACAATCAATAAACCCCGCATTTGCTCAGACTAGACAAAATAGTCACAAATATGACAATATCACTTTAATCATCTGGCAAGGCAGCAATCATCCAACTTTGGTCCTTTCATTTTAGTCCAACAGCTACACACAAGAGAGCTTCCTTTTCCTTTTTGATTTTTGTAATTACCTCCTTCCTTGCCTCCTTAACAGCAGAACTCCTTTTCTCCAATATGCTACACAAACACAGGTACTAAGTTCACATATTTTACTTTTTCAGTATAATTCTCACTGTCTGGTATTTGCCATAAAGGTGAAGCATCCTGTTGGCCAGGCCACATTGTACCAACTACCTCTTTCCTCTAGACCTATAGCTTGTAATTTAATCACCTTCATCTGCTCCACATTCACCTGTTTGTCTTGACCAGACCTGACCTGTAGTATTTAATCAGGGTTGTGAACTGCCAGCAGACTGTCTCTGAGTGAAATAGCTCATCAAGATGCTATTAAATTACAGCTGGCAAATTAGGAAATGAATGAGAGATTGATGGACATTTGTAATTTATTAAGCCAAACCATCTCAGCTATTAAGGAGCACAGGATGTTCATCATCAGCTCGCAAACCATACAAACCCCAGGATTTGTGCAAACGTGTTCTGGAAGACTGCAGTCCAGTGTAGAATTATGATCTGGGGTTCTTGTACAATTCTGCACTTGTACTCCCACTGAAACAAACAGCTGGGCAGTGGAATAACATCCTTTGTTATTATGACAGTGCCATCAAGAAAAACACACAGCTGACTGGCCTGGCTTGACTCTTAGTGATACAGTAACTGAGGTCCACCAGATGATTATTATTTCCAAGCAGTTTCCAGACTTCAACAGTTTTGAGTTGTCATGGTGAGCTCACACTATTTTCTTGTTCCTTTCTTTTTAATGAAGGAGTTGTCTGCCAGAATGTGTAACATGTGAATTCAGTGGTACAGTAGGAATACCTTTTGCTCAGGCACTGCAGGTGCTTTGGCTCTGAATTCTAGGATGCTGAGATGAAGCCCCACAGCTTTCTTGGTCAGACATTTCACACCTTTGTGCAGGCCAACTCTGCAGGGCATCTCTGCCCATGTCTGTGCCCAGAATCTGAGAAGAAGGTGGGACACAGGAGTCAGTATTCCCTTTACTTGGGCTTTTCAGGTTCTGGTACCAACTCCATGAGGACACAATGAGATGACAAAATATTCTTGTCCATCTGGTGTCTCTATGGGAAGCATATGGACTTGAGCCAAAGTTATGGGAGCCACAGCTGAAGGCTGGCTTTGGATGTCATGTGCTTGCTGACATATGGTCTCATGCTCCAAGGCATGTTCATACCATAGTAGCAGGATTAAATTTCATCTCACAAAGAAGCAATCATAGTGACAGGACACTGTCTTTGGGCAAGTGCTCACTAGCCTGGAACTGGTCATAGTTCCTATGAACTCCACTGTTTGTGACTGTAACTGGCTCTTAATTTCAGTGTGCTTCTTTAGGAAAATCACCTGGGTGAACAGCAAGCCTATTCCAGGCTCCTTGCCAGTGCCTGCTGCTGATCAGCTGGTCACCTACGTCAGGACAGATGTGCATGCCCCATCTCTGTGGGTGCACTGCTCCTGCAGACTGGAGTGCTCCACAGTCTGCACTGCCAGAGTGGCTGAGCTTTGGTCCCACCTCTGAAATCCTTACTGCCAGACAGGTAGGTGACTACGTGAAAGCAGGCCGTGTATAATTCAAGAGCCATAAAACAGGCTTGTGTGCATACACAGGAAGAGAGAAGGAAGTGTCACCATTCTAAATCTAATATGACTTATGTGCAGCTTCCCCAGACTTCTCAAAAGACACAGAGCATCCCTCTCTTCAGAACAAGGAACATTGGGAGTACCAGTCTTGTCTGTATTTTGATGCAGCTGCTCCAGTGAAGCTGCTTCATCCCCTCAGCACCCACAATGCAGATCAGCCCAGTGGAAGAAGGTCAAAGGTACTTTCTGCAGTTATCTGATTACTACAGTGACTGCTTTTTACAATAAAAGTCTGAACTTAAGACTATTCTGAGTTTGTATCTGAACCCACTGCTGCCATTATGTAGGACAGTGCCAAAATCCTGCTTAGGCTTGGACAGCTCTGCTACCAATTTCTCCTTTTGAAATGGGTCATAAGGAGATGCAAGGGCAGTGGTGCCAGAGAGAGCAAGAGAAGAAGTGCAATCTTGCTTCTCATCTTGTTCATGGATTTTCTTTAGTTCCACTGGAAAAAAATCACTCTCATATCCAGAGTCTAAACTCATTTTCATATTATAGTAGTACTATAAATTGTTGTAAGTAGGTAAAGCATTTCCACTTGCATACTGATTTTGAGTTCAAGGCTGTGCAGAACTTCTGCCAGACATTTATTTAGAATATAAACTAAAATACAACTTTGAGATCCACCCTGTCAGCATGCCTAACAAATCAATGTAATTAACAATGGCTTAAGAGGCAGAGGACTTGATAAATAATATAAACTAGCAATTTATTTTTAAAAAGCAAATACAAAACCTGCAACCCTGAAGGGCATTTAACCTTCTCAGGACAGGATTGTACCTCCATACCTTATTCTGTGCAGAACTGAGAGCACTAATTCAACACCTTTGAATGCTGCTGCAGTGTACAAACCATGGCATCTCTAAGCACACACCCACACACACAAAGCAGCTGAATAAGAAATTCAGAAACACACATAAAATGGTGTCCAAGTAAGATGCTAACTAATTCCCTTGATATACTGTAGCACATGATACAATGCAACCCCCTCTGAAAATCTTTCATCTCAGTTATTTATTTCCTGACAAGAGGAAATGGAATGCACTGGTACTTCTACTTTGCCATGTTGACCACTTCAATGTACTTATACATGCATTTATAACTAGATTACTGAGCTTTGATACAGTGGCCAAAATAAAAACAGGTTCACTTTTAGGTTTATAAGTAATTCTATTTAATATTGCAAATACAAAGTAAAGAAGCATTCAGCTATGACAACTCACTAACAACCTTATACATAAATAAATTCCAAGTAAAAGTTTATGAGCCTGTAAAATCTTAATTCTTTACCTTGGCTTTCTACTTTTGCAAATGAATCTTCAGTCCTATATTGATTTTTAATATCTGTATGAACACTGTAGCTGGCAATTCTCCTATTCAATTATGTACTGGAATCCACTTCATTATAAGAATCTGAACTTTTTCCCAAACTGGTAGCAACTATTAATTTTAAATGGCATCAGAATGCACATTTCAAAACGTGTTCATACCGCCTACTATCATACCCGTAAGTCTGCTATTTATTTAAGGCTCATGAAACTTCACTAAATAGCTCACTGAAATCTCAATTGGAAGGGAACCAGAAGAATAATTGAATCCAACTCCTCGCTCTACAGAGGGCAACCTCTGAGAGTCTCACCCTGTGCCTGAGAGCATTGTGCAGACGCTCCCCGAGCTCTGTCAGGCTGGTGCTGTGACCACTGCCCTGGGGAGCCTGTTCAGTGCCCAAACACCCTCTGGGGGAAGAACCTGTTTCTAATACCCAACCTAAACCTCTCCTGACACAATTTCAGGCCATTCCCTTGTGTCCTGTCACAAGGGTCACCACAGAGATCAGTGCCTGCCCCTCCTCTTCCCATCATGAGGAAGTTGTAACTACAATGAGGTCTCCCCTCAGTTTCCTCTTCTCCAGGCTGAATAGATCAAGTGTCCTCAGCTTCTGCTCATAAGGCTTCCCCTCAAGGCCCTTCAGCATTCTCATGGCCCTCTTTTGGACACTCTCTATTCGCTTTATTTCCTTCTTAAAATGCGGTGCCCAAAACTGCACACAGGACTCAAGGTGAGGCTGCACCAGCAGAGTCTAAAGTGGGACAATCACCTCCCTTGCCCAGCTGCGGAAGAGGAGAGTGAGTGAATCACTTTGACAAGATCATGCATGAGATGAAATTGAAATAAAAAGCTTAAGTCCATGTTGGACTTAAGTTAGTTGTGAAGCCAATTTGCCTTTTAAAAAATATTTACATAGAATTATACAATCTGACTTTTAACAAATACTAACTTCTCTCAGTCCAAAAGGTTTAAAAATGCATTACTGACATAATTTAACACTTCTTGGAATAAAACTACATCTGCAATCCTTGTGGAACATAACTCTTTACTGCTCTACAATTAGTGGATCATCCAAGCTACATCATTAATATGAACATTGCATTTGGGGTGCACCTGTAAAGCACTTAGTTGGGAGTGAGATGTTTTTCTTCTTTTGCAATATCTCTAAACATTCCTCTGCATTCCTCCTGCCCCTTAGATTCCATTCAGCCAAAATTCAAGGATTTAAAATCCTCTGAACACATGGTACAGTATGATGTGGATATGCATAGAGACTGAATGTCTGTAAGATCTTCCACCACTACTTATTTTTTCCTTTTGAGTAATACTCATGTGTTTGTTCCACTGCAGACCCTCTGAAAGCAGTGGCCACACAAGAGAGAGGCAGAGCTGCAAGTCCCAAGAGAGCAGAGACTGAAGAATCTAAATCCCAAAATAGTGTTTGAAATGGTATTTGCCTAGGGAATTTCACTAGAGGCATATGCAGACTTCTACACTTCTACTTTTGGAAGAAAAATGAAATGGAGATTGAAAAGTAAGAAGGGATTTAGTAAAAACAAGGAGATTGCCATCTAAATTCAGTTTCTTCTTTACATAAGAAATGAAAGGAAGAAGAAAGGCCCCAGATGCTGCCTGTTTTCAGTGAGTCAACTCTGCTTCACCTTCCTCTCCAGAGATAAGAGAACCAGATTTTGTAGCAACTCCAACTTTGACATTTTAGTCTGTTCTGCTTTGTGAACAGAATTGTATTGCTGGTTCCTCAGAACTTTGACCTGAAATTTAAGAACCTATTCCTAACAAGAAAATATTTAAGAAAGAAATATAATAGTCAGGAAGGTGGCAGGATCCAAGAACCAAATTTAAGTTCCCTTCTGCTGCAGTAAATATTTGACTGGTTTAGACTGTTCAGCTGGTGTATGCAACATCAGTGATTTAACACTGCTGCAAAGAAAGAGTCTCCCTTGTTGCTGTAAGTATAAAACCATCCCTTTCCCACCTGGTCAAGGAATTCTGATGTGTAAATGCCAAATCAAGTTTTCTGTAGAGAACAAGTCTCTTTCTAGCTCAAATTTAACTCATGCCTTTATTTTGATGCAAACATGTCTTATTCTCCCTTCACGCTCCTATGATAATTGTGATGAAGGCAGCAATCTGATCAGAAACACAACTTACAGTATTTCCCATTTCACACTGAAAATGATGGAAGTTCTTAACTTCTTGAAGGCATCTCTCAAATATAAATAATAAATCCATTCTGGCCAGGACAGCAAGCCCATAGTTTAATCTCCAAGTAGGAAAGGTCAGTTTACAGCAAGTTGGGATGGAGATAAGGAGACAGTGCTGTCCACTAGAGAGGGAGTTTGTGAGAGAAAATAGCTGGAAACAAATAAGAAACCGTAAAACATAAAGGAGTGCAAATATATGAATAGAAAAGTGAAGTTCTTGACAAATATCCATAATTTTGGGTGGCTGCAGTTTGGATGGGGGGGAAAAAAGCATGTATAACCTTGACCCCAGCACTGAGCTCCAGCTATTGCCTCTGCATGATTTTTCCCAAACAAATCCATCATCTGCCCTGCTAGAGCACACTGCTGCACAATGCTGAGAAGCAGAGTGAATTGCCAAGAAGAGTTATTAAGGTAAAGGTTCCCAGGGTTTTTTTGTTTGTTTTATTATTATTATTGGTGATTTTTTTTACATTATAGAGGATTTAGGATCTCCTTTCACTTTTAAGCTATAAGGAGGCAGTTGCAAGCCTCTCTGTGGAGAGCCACAAGGGATATCCACACGAAACTTCCCTTGAGAACCAAAACCATCAATTGCAATAATTGAAAACTGTGGGAGCATCTACAACTAACAGTGAGAGATCTGCAGTCAGCAAACATGTCATTTTTGTTGTTTCTCTGTATTTATAAACGATTAAGGAAGATCAAGATCTTTTTTTCACTGATACGCTTCTTTCATCCTTGTGCACCTGCTGACTGAAAAACATCCAGTGAATGTCAACACTTTTGAGAGCAGCATTAGGCTAAAGATGGAGAATCAAAAGCTACATTGACAGAAAAATTAGGTACCTAATTTTCATACATTCTTCAAAAAAACATTATGTGGCTGAGTCCAGAAAGATTAAAAAAATTGTGGGGAGTGACCTCAACCTGGTACAAGTTTACATGTGACATATCGTCCCCCATACCCAAAATTTTTCAGATTGCAGCAGGCTATAGTTTTGCAATATGTACATGGAATAACAAATAAAATTATAGAATAAAAAAAAATGTTGTTCTATCACAATAGTACAACCCTATGTAAAGGTCTTGCTGACTCTAGAGACACTAGACAAGTGTAAAGAATTCAGTACCTGAGAGCCAGACAAATAAATATCTAACTTTTAACTTCTTTTTCTTGTAAGTGAAATGTACCTTTCAGTACATTTAAAGTAAAATGTAACTATAACAGAAACCAGCTTCAATGACAACCCAAGGTTACTTAAATACAATAATGAACATCACAGCAAAATTTCAGTATGACTTTGGACAACCTGGACTCCCAATTCACCGACAACTTTCAGGAGACATCCAGAGGGAGAAAGTTTTGGAAAATATACATTTTTCTCACTGGGAAACAGGCTAACATAATAATTTGTTCCCATTAAGTCAAAGGTTTTTGCTTTTGACTTGAATAGGAACATGATTAAAAGGACTACATAGAAAGAATAGATGAAATCCTGATTAAAAACTCTTTTATTCAAATATCTTTGCAATCAAAACCCCTCAAACCATAAAATAAACACTCTCACAGAAATATTGTTTCAAATGAGAATGTAAAAAGGAAATGTACATAAACCCCACCACTGTATTATATAAGTGTCCTGCATGGCACTATAGAAAACTAGTGCAACTGCACTATTTATATAGGAAATGTGTATTTTAAATTAAATCTGTTTTTAAACACTTAGTTTTTCAGTTGTATAAGTTTAATTGGCCAAAGTTATTACTTACAGAAATATATATTAAAATGCCTATAAATTATTCAGAGTGCCTGTTTTGATGTAATGCCTCCTAGTTCAGTCAGAAAACTTACTGAAGCTGTCATATGCTACTATGGTGCCAAATTCTGCCCTAATTTCTGCATGGGCATGAGCCTAAAGAATTGAACTTCTAAGCCTGACAGTTTCAAAACTGGATTGGAAGATGGTGTGCTTGCAGCCTCAATTAATTCCCCAGAACACGTGTATGTGATTGTAGATCCCTCTGTGTCAAATTGTTGGGGTTTTTTTCAGAGGAGTTTAAGCCCAGGTAAGGAATGATTAGCATGTAATTAGCTGCAAAGCCTCAGATCTTCAGGCAATCTAGTAATTGTGAATTACTGCCTGCCCTTAGCTAGAAGAGCTTGTACGGAAGTCTGTGTGCTGCACACATGTAACCAGCAGGAAATGGTTGTCTGATTGCATGAATTTTACACATCTTCCAGCTTTCTGATCTGAATGGCACATCTTGTGCTCAGAGACATCTTCCATAAGAGATGTATGATACAGAGAAGAAAAGATTTTGCTCATTCATCGAGGTAATTGTACACATTTGGTACATTAGCAAACAATTATATTCTTCATTAATTGATCATGCCAGACCATGTTCACCATGGCTGTGAACAGGTGTATTCTTATTACAACTACTGTAGGGAATAAATCAGGCTATGGCCTGTTTTCAGTTTCCAGCAGACAATGTTTCTTGGAGATAGACTACTGTAATTTTCTACAAACCAGTATCAGGCAAAAGAGTCACAGGAAAAGATATTCTTAACAGTCTGAAGGAAACCTAGTTGATTTTTCACCATCAGATGAAATTGAGTTAGACCTCATTTTCACCCTTTTTACTTGATAAAAACTCATAATTAAAAGAAATACTCATGTGAGTAAAATTATCCAAATTATCACATGATGAGTATGTGACTGATGGATTAGACTGTATGTAAAAACCAATGTGTTTGGTAACATGTTATATACTTACTACTATGCATTTAACATTGAAAATTCAATCTAAATTATCATATAAAAGCTATAAATTCTGTTTATAAAACAATTGGATATAGGCATGCTTAAATTGTGTGGAAGGTACTTTGAAACATACTCAAAGATTCATGAGAGAACATAACACATACATTTGGGGTTTTTTGTTAGATACAACATGTAAAATAAAAATTTATCTTTATATTTTGGTATTACTTCAAATTAAGATATAAGACAGAATAGATTTCCTATTGAACATCAATGAAAAAGAAAGGAAAGGAAATGGGTACATTACAAAAGCAAAAGGGTACAGTACAAGGAATCACAGATTGATGTTATTTAATACTATTATAACAGAGAAAGGAGTAGGTTTAGAAACTTACCCTCATCTTTGCACATGCATCCTGTGTTGACTCTGTGCCTCTCAACTCTTTTACCAGCATAGAACCTAAATACTAGAACAAAAATCCATTGAACTTAAATTAAGTGAAATTCCAGAACTGACAAACATCTGCAGAAATGCACCAAAAAGGCTTTAAAATACGTAGTGGTAGCAATCAATTTCTTAACATATTGCTTTAGATATTTTTACTCTGCAGTTCTTTGACAAATCATTTAAACCAATGTGTTAATCAACCCATGAAACAAGAATGCACAGCAACAAGTGTATTGAATCAGCTGGAGTTCTTTGAAACAATATCTGAAAGCCTTCTAGCTTATCATTTTAGTTACAGAAACAATGAACAAATTCTACAGATTCCATCTTAAAAAAGCCATTTGATTATAAAATGGAGAATTTGCTTTTTTTAGCTGCCATCTGCCAAACTCCTATTGTTATGTGTGCAATCACGTGGATAAGAAGGCCAGCAGTGATCTTAACCTCTGTGTACTCAATCTGTAGCTAATTTACGTGCAAATAGCAGAGCCCGATGTCAGCAAAGAAAGACAATTAATCTGTATTAAAACTAGCTTAAACCATTATTTCTTCCTAAGGAAAGGCTGACTCTGAACTATTATTTTGGAGCCTTTAGTGATCTGGAGGAGGGCTGTGTGAGAGGAAGCAGCAGGGTGCTGTGTCCTGGCTCAGCTCGCTGGAAACCACTGTGCCCTCAGAGGAGCCTGCTCATCTGCAAGGGTAACAAGGCAGGCAGTGCCTCAGTGACACAGCTCCTGTGCTACAGGCTCTCCCTCACGGTGTCACTTGGTGGCACACCCAGTTTGAGCCCTCCTGCACCCTGCCAGCAGCCTCTGCTCCTCTGAGGTCTCAGGACCCCACCTGAGAACACCGTGTTCGAATGGCGCTGCTCCTCCAGGGATGGGGCTGGCTGCATCATCCCTGCCATTCCCACTTAGCAGTGAGGGGTCTTCTGGCTAACTGGGCTGTACCAAAGCCTCACCACGCTCAGCATTTCTCCTGTAGATGCTACAGGTGTGCCTATCTGTTGGTGTGCATGTGTTCTTAGAGCTCTGTGGGATATTTCTGAATTTCTATGTGATGTCACTCGTGAGTCTGGCTTAACTGAGCAGAGAGCATAGCAAGGCTCCCCTCACCTGCTCTTCCCCAGGCACAGAGAAGTCTCTCTCTCTCTGCATTCTCACTGCAGCGCAAGGCCACAGCTTCTCCTAAGTCTCCTGTCCTAAGTGAGCAATTTGGGAGCTGCAGATGAGTCGTGCCACTGGGACAATATGGTGAAAAGGCTGCAGGAGGAGAGAAAGCACTGTGGGCAGGAGCCTCTTTCTGGAGGGTGCTGCAGCCCAACTCTGCTGACCCATCTCACTCTACCAGACTGATTCCTCTTGGAAACAGCTTAAGCTGACCCAACCAGATGGTGAACCAGCTTCAGCTTAGACAAGAACGTATCAAAAAGAACTTCAGTTACAGATGAATGCGAGCTGGAACTGAACAGAGTGTACAGTTCTCTGGTCTCCTGACCAAAACTGAGATTTTCTTTAAAGCCTTCAGTTTACACTGTGTACTGCAGGAGTCTCTGACCTGCAAGAAAATGCATAAATATTTCAGTGTAGACAGTAGCCAACACAGCAATTAGTGAGAAACACTTTATAGGGTATTATAAATGGGCCAGTGAGCAACATCAGCACTACCAGATAAGCACAAGCATAAAGGGATGAATGAAGGGCATTCCTAGAGGACTGCAGATGTGAAAGATTCATAAACCGAGCAGCTGTGAGTCCAGCTGGGGGCTCGATGGTGACGTGAATAGGGCTTTGGGCATTAATTTGATGGGACAGTTTGATATTGCCCTTGAAGAAAAACAAATTTAAAGCAAGCTCTGAAATTAGAAGAGTAAACAAAAACATATTGAATTGAACCATGTTTTTCTCTGAATCCTGCTGTCTGACACATTTGGAATTTTTAGCCTTCTCTGGGCAGGTTGCAATTAATGTCTTAATTTTTTTTATTTGGTTGGTTCAATGGTTGGGTGTTTTTTGTTTTGCTTTGGAGGTTGGTTTTTCTTTTGCCTCATTTTTTTATAGACTACAGTAAAACAAATTGCTTTTTCCTTGAAAGCTACCAGCCGGTCACGCACCAGGGTTTTTGCTTATGGCAGAAGAGGAAGAAAGAAAAGAGAAGGACAGCTCCTGTCCCATCTGCACAGCAGCAAAAACCCTCAGCTGAAGGCACTCAGCAATGCTTCCCAAGCTGGACTGTAGAATAGACAAACAAATCACAGTAGTACCATCCAATTTAGTTGTCAGAAAAATCTGAAACTCTAGGAGGAAGTTTTGCTTCCTTTTGACTTGCTGTGCTTTTGGAAAAATTCCTTCTCAAACACCAATGGCATGTGGTAGCAATCCAGAGAACATCCCACAGTTTAACTGACTGACAGAGTGGCATAGAGTGAAAGCTACTCCAATTATAACTTACAAGCCAGGGTTTTACTCTGTAAGGCTGAGGTCAAAAGAGCTCAAGGAGCTGAAACAAAGTGGTGACGTATGGTCCTTAGGAAAGGAAGGTCTTTCCTTAATCACACTAACTTAGATATTCCTGGTCATTCCAACTTAATTTCTTAAATGATCCATCTTCCAATCTACTACAAAGGTTACATTAGATTATGAATTTATTGCTGGATCATGCAAAAAGAGAAAAGGCATCCAAGATAAATGTGTTCACTCCACTGAAAACTATGAGAAATGTTTAAAGAATTAGGAGTTGCTAACCTTCCTTTTCAATCTGGGGTGAGCAAGAAGGTTTAGAATAGGAGAACAAGACTGAGATCAGGTGAGATGGTCCTTGACTGTAACTTTCTGAGGAAGGCAGAGGTTCTAATTACTGACCAGGGATAATCACTGCATGCATGGCAATTTTTAAGCCCATGAGGGTCTGATAGAAAATACAGTTTTGCTCTAGAAAGACAGGTCTGTAGCACCCCTTCTGCTCCTCCTCAGTGGGAGCCAGGCTCTGTCTCACCTGCATTTAGTCTCTAATTCCTACCTTCCCAGATATGATTTAAATCCCATCCAGAAACCTCCAACTGTTCCCCAAAATGAAGCAGTATTTAGTGAACAGAACATTATCCTAAAAAGCACCAAAGATTCAAGCCCCTTCAGGTGAAGAGGATCTCAACCCCACATCCTGGACCAGTAGTGAGCCCCCAGCTACTATCCTAAAGTCACTGCAACTACTGAGCCTCTTTCCTTTGAACCATAAGCCAGCCTTCCTTCATAAGGCGGTCGCCTCCAGAGAGGACACACAGTGAGCTTCAGCAGCTTCAACAATGCATTCCAGCAAAGTCAGAAGGGGAAATTCAAACATTTTAAAAGTGGGCTGATGTGCCTCTTCAGCTCCCCAGAAGCTCCAGTCCCCGCCTGCTGTTGGCATGGAACTCAAGATTTCAGAAAACTGTTTTTCATTGGGAAAAAAAAAGCCTTCCACTGACTTTCTGTACTGCAGGGGGCTTTTCTCTCCTCCACAAGCATTTATAACAGCTGAAGACTAATTGTCTTTAGTTTAGTTTATTTAAATCTTTAGAGAAGCTCCTGGGATGGGAAGTGGTAATCACCTGCAGCCACATGGAGGTAAAAATAAGTATGCCCTGCCCTGATGGAACTGACTGCTACTGGTACTACAAGTAGCCATCAGTTTGGGAGAGGTCTGAATGTGCCCTTGTCCCATGGATGGAAAACACTCAGGACCCTCATCTCCTTTTTCTCATTTTCCTTTCCCAAAAACACATATATAAAGTTCAGGTGAGGCAACATTTAACTTTAACTGCTGTGCACAGATCATTAAGGTAGGTATAAGGATCCCATATCATGTTTTATTATTCTTTCAGAGACATGTAATTTTTAAGAGATGAAAAGTAGGGGTTCTTGCTCTCACTGTCACTTCAACAACACTTAGCCACTTACTCAGTGCCCGTTCTCTAACATTAATGCCACGTGGACTGCAATATATCACACAATTCATAGCAAAAAAATACTGTGCATCCTTGTTTTTCATTTATTACAATTACTATATTTCAGAAGTAGGAACCTGTCTCCAAAAGTGACTGAAAAAGTATTATAAATGAAAGTAAAAGACAACAGCCTATCAAAATCCAAGTTTAATATATCAATCCCAAATCAAACCACTAAATTTATCAACACTTACAAATGCTTTATAATCGCATGACTGGAAGATGAGTTTCTCTGGATGATGTTGCCAATATTGTACAGGCGTTGATGCTGTGGCTTCATTTGGAGGTCTCAAGGTAATTGAAGGCTCTCCCCAGTCTCCTGTCTGAAAATCACAGTTGTTCAAGATGTAAGAGTACGTGCAGGCAAATTCACTATAAAGTAGCCCTCCACTGTTGTGCTCAATTAACAAGGATTTATTTTCTACACATAGAGCCATGTTACTAAAATAAGGGAACACAACTCCTACAACATTTTTCATGATTTAATTTATAATCCAAAGTCATCTACTGTAGTGTTTAATGAGGCTTTAATTAAATCTCTTTGCTTTGAGAATAAAATCATTAGACACCGGAAATGTTCCCTAAAAATAAGTGTTTACAATACATATATGAGGATGAGAGCACTTGAAAAAAATCATGAGATGCATGAAAATGCCTTTCACAAATTCTGCTATGTGTTTTACAAGCTTTTCTGCACAGTTAATATGCCTTCCGTTATCTGGCACACATAACCAATAACTAACTTTCCTAAATGGCTAAATAACAGAGACTTTGCTTTGATCTGAAGACTTATTATACATTCTTCAAACACACGAGGCATTCTTTAATCTCTTTGCGAATTATTTACTTTGATCACCTTCTCTTGATGCTTCATTGTGGAGGTACTAATACTGCCCTTCCACATTCATCATTCTCATTGATATAGGAGATTGCCTTTCTGAGGTGTCATCTCCTCTCTTTCCTCAAAGCCCTCAGAGAACACAGGTAGGAGTGCAGTTTGCTGCCAGACCCCTTCGCTGCATGCTCTTCTTCCCTCCAAAAGAGCCAGTGCAGGCATCAGGACAGGAATGTCCCCAGCCTGGCAGTGCTGCTCTGGGTCTCACTTGCCATTGTGTATATTTGATCATGGCTCCATAGGACCTGAACTGCCGTCTCCTTAGGGGCCCCTTGCAGGCCTGTGCATCAGCTCACTTGAACTGAAAATGACCTGTGGATGGCTTCTCCTCCTCCTAAGCCCCCTTCCCTCTGCCACCACCCCCACTTCTCGCCTATCCTGTCTGGTCTGAACTGCCTCTCAATTCCCCTCTTCTCACAACTCTGTCTTTTTGCAATTACACTTGTCCTTCCTGATCCTCCTCCTTCTCCTGCCCATTCGCTCTCAAACTATTTTACCCTTTCCTATATGATTATTTCAGTCTGGATTATGCTACTTCTTTCTTTACCTGCACTTATCTCTGTGCATTTTATATGTATGTCATTTTGTTAAAATAAGTGTTGAAGCTGACAAGGAATTGTCATCAGCATTTCACACAGAACATGGCTAGAAGCTTAGACTTTTATAGCAAAAAGAAGTTAGGCATCAAAAACACATGAAAAAAGTCTTATCGAAGACATTCAAAGTGTAGCAAACTATCACATCTTACTAATTAAGTCAGGACAGAGTAAACAGAACAAGTACATCATTTTCATGTGTCACAAAATAACGAAATGACACGTATTTGCACAACTTTGCAATGAAAAGCAAGAGATAAATCTGGAAACATCAACATTACCCTGCCAATATGGCAACTTCAAGCAAGAGAACATGATAAAACAAGTCAAACCTAGTTACTGTTGGCACCATTAGTAAATCTACCAGTTACACAGTAATGCAATTTCTGTTTTGCCTAGTTAAGTTGCCTATATGCCATGGATATTACTTCAGCATTAGGTTTTGAAAGGAAAGAAGCAGGAGCAATTGCTCCAATTTTTGTCAATCCATTTTTTTGTTACATCCACAAAAGTGAATCCTTCTGGCCACTAATGCATAAAAACTTTCTATCTTATTTAATCTGAAGTGGGAATTTGATTTCTTTAAGAGGCAGTTCTTCTTATAAAATAAGATTTCCATCATATTACAAGGGGCAAGGATCTGCATCCTTATTAGTGGAGCTTGTCTTTGACAACAAGAGAAGATGGATTGCACCCATCACCAGTTCTCACAGTGTGCTCAGCTCTCTTATGAACTGTTCAAGGCCACAGCTAACAGAGCACTTGGTTTAGTTCTTTTTTTCCCCCCTAATAAAGATACACTCCTGCATGTTCTGTGGAAGGAAGCAGAGCTCAGGAGATACATCCTGGCCATTTAGCAAAAGTGTGGACAGGGAGTAAATTCAGGACAGAAAAGCTACAGAAGTACATCTTCTGACCACTGGTCTCTCTACCAAGGAAGCACAGGGATGGCCATGAGGCAGGACCAGAACTTCCACTGAGCAAGTGGCCAGGGGTAGTGCTCCAAAGTCTTCTGTTGCACTGCTCTGCAGGTGGCTTTCCTCACCTGCAGGAAAGGGACAGCACTGGCAGATTAAACAGGGTACATAAGGAGAAAAATGAGTACATAATTTTACAGTTTGTTTCCCTTTTGCACATTAAGCATGAAAAGCATAGAGAAATGCATTTTTTTCTGTCTGTAAAGGGCAGAGAAAGGGGAACAATGATTACCTCTTGTTTTGGCTCAATTTTATAAAGAAATGAGAAATAATCTTCAACCAGGCTAATAAAACTAGTGTATGAGGCAGAGTGGGACTGTGTGGAGACCATGTTTGTACCCATTGAATGCTCTATAAATATAATCATCCTACTACCTACTCCTTTTAAATTACACAAAACAGAATTGCCAAGATTGCTATATATATCTCTAGGATGTTCTAAACATGCAGTAGAGCTGAGGTTAGGGGAATGCAGACATACAGGATTTCTGCTGTTCCTGACAGACCGCTATCCCTGGAGGCCTTTCATGTATTTCAGTGTGTCTTGTAAAGGGAGCAGCTACTAGGAAAAGTGCATAAAATTAAACACATAGCTATAGATTATTATGATGGATGGAGAATACACAGTCAAAATTTATATAAAATTTATACACAGTCAAAATTGTCTTTTACAGCTGTATCATAGGTGTTTTTTTAATATTCAGCAGAAGTGGCTCCCAGTTTCCTTTCCTTTTGTTTCTAACCAAACTCCTTAGACTTTTAAACAGTATTACTGTTAGTATTCATAACCTATTTAGACTGAGTTGTAACAGGATAGTCTCCAAAGCCCAGACCCATGAAGATTTTTAGAAGTGTTGTAATTCCTATTACATATTCCCCTTGCAATTTCCTTTCCTTTCCTTTTTTTTTTTTTTTTTTTTTCCTTCTCTTTAGGGAAGAAAAGCTTTTAAACAAGATTTAGACAGTTAAGACACTCATAAATCCATGTCTGAAAACCTCACCAAGAAGAAAGGGAGCTTCTCAGCTGACTATCTCAAGTCAGATACTGAAATTCTGAGATTTAGGATGTGATGATGACAGCTAACATCAGGAAAAATACAAAATAGGACCATCTTTGACCTAGAGAAAGCTTGAAACCACAAAGCTCAAGTCGGGGTGGAAAAATATAAATTACTAGTAGTACAAAATCTGAGGAGCTGATGTGGAACAATTTATGGGTGATGTATTGAGATTCAGGTCCTTCATAAGGACCTAATACACTTTTCAAGCAGTACAGAAGCGTTCATAAATTGCTGTGCAAGACCAACTATAATGTTTGATTTAAGCTTTAAAAATAGATATGATAGGATAAGGATTTTCTAGTTTGAATATTTAATTTGCAATTATAAGGAATAATCAAACATTTAAGCTTATGTATTTTTTATGACACAATATACGGATGGAGATATTTATCTCTCTGATGAAATAGAAAGGCAAGAGATAATTTCTTCCTCATCTAACTTTACAGCTCATCAGACAGCTGTGCAATTTATCACATGGTTTTTGCTGTACTGCCTGTGGTTTAGTATTCTAACCTCCTTATGACTTTAACCAGCACCTTTCCTCTCTCTGGCCTCAGCTAACATGAAAAAGATTTTTTTGCTCCACATTTTGCAGATAAAGAATTTATAATCAGAAAATGGTCTCAAGGCAGGTGCCAGAGGGGTAAGGATTCAATTGTTTTGCAATGACAACTTTTAATAGCCTTAGAGAACAATATCTTGTGCTTTTGCAGCGTTTTCTAACCCCAAAAACGGGCAGATACCCACTTCTCTAGAAAGGCTTGGATGCTTGATGTCAAATGAGCTACAGAAGCAGACTGCAGCTATTATTTTCTCTATAATTTTTTCTACAATTGCTGCACATTTTCCTACCTCATCCCATTCTCTGAGAAGTGCATTTGACTCATATTAAAGGCACCTGGATGCAGAGATAGTCGCAGATAAGAAGTAACCTCAATAAATCTTCTATAAAAATCTAACACCTCCCTCATCTTTTTATAAAAATGTCAAGTTGAAAAGCCTCCATGCTAAAAGGAAGAAAAAAAAACCCAAGAAGTCCTGGTTCTGAGTGGTTTGAATGCAGTTATTTTTAACAAGGACCACATCTTCTAACTTTTCACCTGTTAAGCCTCATGCCTGGTTATGGTAACGTGTATTAGTCACCATGACAACAACAAATTGAAGCATACATGGATACAACAGTTCTGGCTGAAAAATTTATCATTTTTTCCCTGTAAAAAATTTAAATGTTCTGCAGACCAGTTGAATCCTCATTATTTGCTTTTGTTTTAATTCCTAGAGGAAGACAAATTTTTTAGCTCCTTAAATGTTTGGCTTTTGAAATAATGGAAACAAGTTCATGGTGTACTTCAGATTTAAAATATTTCTGAAGCTCGGTAGCCAAAATGACCACTCTCTGGCAGAAATGTTCCAAGGAGGGGTGTCAGAACTAGGAGAAATCTACAGCTGCTCCCAAATACTGCGCTGAACAACAGGCTGTCGTGCTTACCCCGCTGCAGTATGGATCAGCAGGTTTGCTCTCACGTACACAGCGCTTGTGACTGCCCCAGAAGTGACAAAAACCCAGGGCACCATCAGCGTGGCACCCCCAAAGTGCCTCTGCCAAGGCAGTGTGTCACCTCAGCCGGGCAAAGCCTACAGACCAACACAGAGACAACACGGCGGGGCCAAACCGTGCAAACCCAGCCCTTCACACTTTGGTTTCCCGCTTGGGAAGAGGGAGTGAACAAAAACACGAGGACCAGAATTCCGAGCTCCCCCTGAGCTGCTGGCTGTCCGGAAGGAACGCACACC